TGTAAATAGTTTAGCATGATAAGATAATATATATACCCCGGTTGTATATTGAAACGCCGGATTTAGTCAGTAAATCTAAATTGTATTTAATAGCGTAATTAGTAATACAATTAGCTCGTTCCAAATTAATTGCGCCCGGTTACTGCTTATAATATTAGGTATTAAAATTGCTAGTAATGAGTATTTTTAGAAGAAAAACCTAATCATTAAAGCTTTCCAAAGTAGGAAAATTCCCGGAATAAAAACAAATATTGAAAATAATAAAACTACTCACTTTTACCTATAATAAAACTCTTATTTATTCTATATTAAGTCTAGCGGCTGATGAATCTTTATAAATATATACAGTAATCCGGGATTAGGATTCAATTTCGTCGGTTCAAATACGAATTAAAGTATAGAAATTATACTACGGATACTAAAGTATTCTAACCTGTGCCTCTTCTTCAATATACTACGTACGTAATTATTAAATTAGAATGATATTTACTTTAATTTTACTAATAATTTAGAAGGTAATTTCGTATAAGTTTTGTACTTACGTAATATTAGCCAAAAGTATATATATTCTTAGTTTCTTTAAAGCTTCGCAAATATTTATTTAAATTCCTTTTTCAAATTAATAATTCTCCAAAAGAGTAATTAATTATAGAACGAAGAATGGAGAGCGGATAAATTTATAAATTGTAAAGCGGAAGGTTTGTTAAATTGATTATAAAGTATTATTTTGGTATTTTTCTAGGCTACATCTAATTTAAGTTATTACAATTATTAAGAACGGAAGTTACGAACTCATTATTAAAGAAATTAGTAGAAGAGCTGCTACCAGCTTCTTTAAAAGAATTAGACTTTTAATTCTCAAGAGCCACTTAACTATATCTTTCTATAAAAAGCTTAGTTTCTTTCTAGTAAATATGATATTTCTTTTCGGCTGAAGAGCAGATAACTTTTTTGCTTTTCTTCTAAAAGCGAGTAGGGTGATATGTAAAGCTGGCTAGATCACGTTAATTAGTACATTAAATAGACTTATAATAGTAGTATAGTGATACCGGAATCCCTGAATTCCTGGTATCGTTGGCCATACCCTGTATTATAGCTTAGACTAGTCATGATAGCCCAGATTAGCTAGGCTGCCATGGAGGCTCTGGTGCCTGCCCAGCTGTTGCCCAGCGCTCGGGCTACCTAGCTTGCTGCGCTGCATATCTACTACATGCAGACGGCTAGCTGGAAGCTAAGCCTTTTTTCTGAGAGAATCTCTCTTTTACCTATTTTTTATATACAATATGGCCTCACTCTTGTGACCTCCTGTATTGAGTGTAAATCTCACAATTCTCGTATTATATAGTTGTACTTAAAGTATTACAGCTTCTAATTTTAAGTTTAGCAGCTATTAGAATTTGAATAAAATGCGTATTAATTAAAAAGATCGTAGTATTATAAGAAGTAAAAGAGGTAATTAATATTAAAAAAGTAAAAGGGTTTTAAAAAGAGAATTTTGAAGGAAATTAAATAAATGATAGTAACTTCACAAAGTTTATATTTGGAAAAGAAATGAAAAAAAAAAATAATGTCTTATGACGCTAAACTATTTATATAGTTTACCCAATAGGTAAGTGGTGCTGCTTCCTTTCTTAGTATAAGAAAAAAACGTGTTGTTAAATACTGGATGAAAACTCCAGCTTCTTCATTTCCAACCGTAACTCTTAGTCCGAACTTTCATCCCGTCTCACCACGGGAGCTCGGGGAGCCGTGGTTGCTTTGATATTTGTTGTCCGTTCTTATTATTATCTCCTTTCGTCCTAGTGAACTTTGTTACTTCTGATTAGCTAATATACTGAGATCCCGCCCTCCCTTCCTCCCTACCTTACGCTTCGGTTGCTTTAAGCATACGCCGGGTGATTCTTCTTTCATCTTATCTTTAAGATTTGAAGGTGGAGAAGGAGAGGTCTTATTTGTGGTACTGGATGTTTCCGTTGATTAACCAGTTGGCTGCCTGTAAGGCGTTGTGAAGCTAAGACTTTTAGTAATTGGTCAATTGGATTTATTAAGATTCCAATTCTAAGAAGTTTTATTGGTTTGCTTAGTAATATCGCAATGTATATTACTAAGCTCAAAGAAGACATTTTCAACACGTGTCTAGTCACGTGTACTTATAGGTAAGCTAAGGACTAGAGTGAGTCCGACATCATTTTTAATGCCTCTTATGACTAGGAAGGCGGAGGAGATTTCACCCGAATTTTTAAAAACTGGATAAAAGTGAAGGAAGCAAGATTCGAACCTACGACCTTTTAGATGACATTGAAGGTAAATCAAGCTCAGATCTTCCCAACTGAGCTTTTCTTCCAATTCAATTAATAATTTTATTCTTCCTAGTAAGCGAAGTATTAATAATAACTGTACTGAATGTTATTGTTATAAGAACGTTAGAAACGGCGTATGTAAATCACTTCTTGAAAATATCAATTTTAAGGTAATTAATGTAGTACGTAATTTTATTATTTTATTTTTATTATTATAATAGCAGCCTTGCAATTGTGCCTCTCGACTACCATTATAACTATATAAGACCACTTGAGCGACCGAATTTCCAGCTTCGGTTACTTGTATCTTTTTGAAACATAGCTTAGTAATGTAGTGGTCCGCCAGCGCTGTGACATTTATAAGAGTCTTACAAATCTTGTTATTCTTTGGGATAATTATAAAACTAGTAAAAATACGAATATAAATAGTAAAATTAGTAGAAGTAAAGTAAAAAAGAGTTTAGGCTTCTATTCCGTATAGTAAATGAATAAATTAATTTAAATTAAATATTACAATTAAAACGGAAAGAAATTCAGTTATTAAATCCAAAAAAAAGGAGGGGAGGGAGCGAAGAGCGGAGTTGTAAAAGTAGAAGCGGAAACGGGAACCGAAAGTAGAATTAGAATAGTTTTTAACTATTTTAACTTACTAAAATATAACTACAATAAAAGATATAATATTTTCTTTGTTTATTACGGGAGTAAAGTTTTAAGTAAGCAGAGTAGAATCGGAGGTAAATAAACTAGGGTCGGAGGTAAATAAGAATAGTAAATTAAAATTGGAAGAACTTTTAGAAATAGAGTTTTTTATAATTATTGTAATAATACATACAAATTTATCAGCGGTGCGGCGGTAATAAGCAAATTTGTACTAGAAGCGGGTAATTTTGATATTAAAGGTAGTAATAAAGGATTTATATATTTAAATTCTAACAAACGTCTCCTCAATAAAGAGTTCAGCGAAGGTAGAGATTGGGCTAGCGGCGGCGGTAGTAGTAGTAGTATTATTAAAACAGTTTTCTTCATTTATAATATGCAATTTTTCAGAAGAGAGTAATTACGCTATTAGAAAGGCGGGAAGCTAATTGCAAAATTGGTTTAGTATCAGAGTTACTAGTATTACAACCGGTACGGGTTTGGGAGCTCCGGAGGACGTGGGCGATAATATATTATTGTGGTTGTTGGCTGAAGGATCAGCCGAAAAATAGTGATTTTTGGGGTATTAAGGATTTTACGAGCAGATTAGTATTAATACTAACACTTAACGCCAAAACTTTTGGTTGTTAGGAGGAAGTTCTTAGGCTTAGTGGTTAGACGATAGTAAGCAGAGAGACTGAAGTTGTGGCTGACGTAAGACCTAAAGCGCACAGGACCACTGGGTGCTCCTTCCCGCATTATTGGAATCTCTCCAGACTCTATAGAGATATTGGTGAGAAATGATGGAAGATGTCCAGTCGTTTCGCCTTTCCAACTGCAAGATTGATATCGCAATCAAGTCCAGGGTCACAAGACGACGAGTACCATGCTGTCATACCGCACCACCGGGCTCAGCATCCGGTATTATTCTCCCGATCAACAGCTGGAATTGCTTCCATGGCTTCCATGGAAGTTCCATTGATGTTCAGGAGCTCTGGAGTAAAAGTCTGGGCTGGCCATCTCGAAGAGATTGCTTTTACGCCTCACCTTGAGCTTCCCTGGCCTGCCTGGTTTTACCACACCAACACCATAACGTTGGTGGATGTGATCACCCATCTCGCCTTCCCTTGCCCTTCCGTCATAACGGGTTTCAGGACGGCTCGATCGGCCGCCGTTTTTTCCTCTCTCATTCCCTTTTTTTTTTTTTTTGCAAATCAGGGTCCTCGTACTCCATGTTGATACCGCTTTTCAAGGAGGCGGTAAAGGCTGGCAAGGCTGGGGTCTGGAGATATGCACACACCAACTCATCTCGGTATAGGCAAACCCGGTCGACCGGTTTTCCAAGGGACATTCCATCGATCAACTATCCTTCTTCTTCTTACCCGCATTTTTGGCTTCTAGAGGCTCCCGAGTCCTGGAGAAAGGGCTGATAGCTTGCATCCGACGGTGTGGTTCTGGGCCCCCTCGTGTTGAAGCCGAAAGAAGGAAGGGGGGGAAACTGCACGCGTTTCTTGCATTGCAGATGGCTAGAAGACATAGCTTCTTCCCACAACACTACACACACAGATCCGTGATGCCAATGCGGTGTCGTCAGCCACATGGCTTGCGACCAGGGGGCGGACCAGCCATTTGGTGCGAGACTCCGCAACCGGGAGCGGAATAGTCTCAGACAGGGGACTTTGGGGCGCACAAGTGGAAAGTTTTCTTTTCCCCTTTTCTGCGATTACTGTACTGTAGTCTCCTGAATACCCATGGATGGAGGACAAGCAGATGGCAAGTGAAGCGAAATGTGTGATTTAAAGGTCTCCGAAGAGCTCTTCTCACACATGTCGCCTCACCCACCAACTAGATAACTGGCAGAAAGGCGAGTTAGTGGGATGCTCCCCGTGATGAAACCCCCAATCGACAGAGGGATAGTGGTAGCGAAAGGCGCAATATGTGGGGGTCTGGGTTTCCGGTTCCGTTCAACGTCAGTTCATGGCGCTGTTCCATGTGCCCGCTCCACTCTGCCCGGTTCTCCAAGATTCGAAGAAGGGAAATGGAATGAAAATGCTTTGTCCAAGTTGCATTGAAGCATTAACATGGCATGTTATGGCTCAAGGATACGACTTGCTGACGGCATGCAGTGATCTCCCCGTCCTTCCCTCGCTTCGCGAATGCTGATACTCAGAGCCACACTGGCCGAGGACTGAACAGGAAGATGAAGATGAGGGTGATGCTGGACGTTGATTGCGCAAACAGATGGCTCAAATACCAGCCACCTATCCTCGCCGGTTACCGGCTCGTTGTTGGTGGCCTTTTGTGATGTTCAATGTCCTCGGGCCCCAGGGGAAACCAGGCGAGGCCAGGCGAGCCATGAACCATCCAGCAGGAGTCAACTTGTCCACATCTGGTTTACCGCAACGGACCCCCAGCTCATGGCACGGGACCATTGGGTGCCTACCTAGCGACCTAGGCGTGCTACCTAGAGTCCAGGGGCTTTGCTCAAAGGGCTTTGGCACTGTCCGCGGTACCTGAAGGTCCCGCTCCTGTTGGGTCGTACTGGAAGTCTTGGAGGTCTGTGCATCCAATAGGCGCTCAGCTGGCCTCCCCTTTCCTCTTGTCTTGCGCACTCCTTGTCCATCACCCATCATTGTCGTTGTTGTTGTTGTCACTGTCTATTCACTGTTCGCATCCTCCATCTGAAACTGTATCACCGAGATGTGAAAGGCTGTGCCTCTTGTTTTTTTTTTTTTTGGTGATTGTTTTCGTTGATTGTCTTTCGGAGTATCTTTGTCTTCTTCTCTTCTATCACCATGAAAACGTCGGAGACGGGAGTTATTATCAGGACTCTTTCAACAAGCCATCAAAACTGAAGCACGTCGTAAGCTCCAACAGCGGTGACTACTATTGGATATTTGTGCCTCGGCTTTACAATGTCGCTGGCCTTAATTACCATCCTCTCCGCAGATACTGCGCGGGACATGGTCCAGGCGAGGAGACAAGGAGTCCGAGCAACAAGCCAAGAGTGGATTTTGGTGATGCTCCCATCTTCCTCCGGTGGGATGACAATGATAACTGAGAGTGACTAAGTAGGAAGACGGGTTTCCGAAGTTTGCCGGTACAAGAACTGAAATATCCATGGGTTATGAACAATGATGATGAAATGTTATTGCGTTCAATATAGAGCCCAGTCAATGATGATGGATGGTTTGCCGAAATACACGAGGCCATCAACATTCAACAAGTCGCCTCAGACATGCACAGGAAATCCAGGAACACCTCCACGGAAGTGTGTTGAGTGAGTGCAGGAGCACCTGCAGCGCAGCAGACCAGCAGTGGTGGGTGTCGTGAGCCCCGAAACCGAGCAGAGAAATGATTTTCCACAGTTGCCGGTCACCCTCCGTCACTCTCCACCGTAACACTGTGATACTGTACCAACAGTGTACAAGTCGGCGATCGGTCCAGCCGGACCCCGGGCATGCAGTTGTCGATGGCCGACCGTCCAGAAGCAAGGTTCCCCTGGAAATCCTGGGTACAGGTTCCATTTCCACTTTTTCTTCTTTTCGAATTCTGCGCCGCCCTGCGCTAGACTGAGAAAATCCCCATCGACACCCACCATCCTTATCCAGCAGTCTTGGCGCAAACCGACCAAAGAGGAGACAGACGAACCTCGCAGCTGGAGACTGGAGACTGGAGACGCATCTCCAATGCACCTGCAGTGGGTGAGTGCCTGCACTAGTCGACTTACTGCGCAGTATATCGCATGCCCCCCCCTCTGCTCCTTCTGCTCTAACCCCCCCAGGTGGATTTCTCCTCCTTCATTAATTTCGCTCCGCTACCCTTTTCGCTTTCTTTCGATTCACTGTGCCTGTGTGCCTTACACCTTCTCTCTAACGTATTTGTCTCGCTTGCTGCCCGCGTCCTTCATGGCTGCACGTCCTAATACTTTCCATACAGTTCAGACTTCCGAATAATCCTTGGACCCTGATCCTCTCCTTGTGAGACAAGAGGAACCTCTCCGCTTCCGCTCTTCGTACAAGTGGAAAGTTGGTTGTCGGGGCGCATACCTGTCAGGTGCAAACATACTTTATCTCCAGTTTCGTTGGTTGCAACAGGCGAAACAGGGTTCCCGGGACTCTCTGTTTGTCAAAAAAACAAAAGAGCAACAAGATCGACCTTCCCGCTTTCTCCCCTCGGCCACCACTTCGATCGACACCACTCAGTCAAAGAAAAGAGGCTCCATTGTCACCACCTTCTTCCATCCGACGGCCTTTCTTTTTCTTCCTCTTCGCTTCACAATGCGCGCCGTTTAATACTTAATACCATCCGATACTACCGACTCACGTCATCATCCACTCATCGCCTTCGATATCGACGACATAGGCTTTGACATCGACTTCGATTCGCTTCCGTGGCTCTCGTTCAACTCTCGATTCTAGTCGACACTTCTACTTGCCATGGAAGGCATTCTGTGTGTACCCCCCGATAGGGGTCCAATCATCGGGAGGGCGGTTTGGAAGGTGCGCACATATCTGGAGGGTTTCGTCAAGCTAGACGAGCTTTTTGTGTCTGGACAAATTCTGATCGGTTTATAGCCTCGCTATGTCGTTCTGGGAAACGGGCTACGGGAACCACAAATACAGTCCGGTCTGGGCCGATCACAGAGCAACCGAAGCTCTACGCCAGCCCGTATGCAGATCAAGGTGATTCCGGATACCATGTATCTGTCCATCTACAAGTCAAAGGTAAGCCATGGTGCGCTTCCAGTTCGCCTGTGTGGTGATCCCGAGGTTGTTCTGTTAAATGGTCAGCGTTTCTAACATCAGCTAAACCGTGTAGGAGGACTGGGAGCCAGCATTGCAAGTTGCCGTATCCTCGATAACCGACTGCCAGGTTCAGATGATGGCGCATCGCAAGCAAGGGCCTATCCTTCCAACAATGGTTGTCAACGTCGCCCCTGATCCTGCCACCGAGAAGATGCGCAAACGACGTTCGAGTAGGACCGCCGGTCTAACCACCGGGAAAGATTCGATTCCCTCCACATTACTGTTCCGCGCAGGCGAGGATAGCCACTCGCACCTCTCCCTCCACGAATGGGCTCGCTTCCTCCAACAGCTTATCCGCCCAAGTGTCGTTCCAGAGGGGCAGGCCGCCCAGGCACCCCCTTTGAGTCCCATCACTCCAGCCTCGCCAAGTTTCGTCAACCCGTTTTCACCACGATCCGGCGAACTGCAACATAGGCCGAGCAGCGGGAGCGCGAGCTCACGACCCAGTTTCCACCCCATGAACTTCACACCAATATTCACCAACCGCGAGCGCCCTGTCACTCTAGTCGACACCCCGAGTCTACGCTCCAAGCGCAGCGATGTGTCGTCACAAACCAGCTCCATGAACCCAAGCTTGGGGTATCAGCACTACACGGCCATGTTTCCTGCCGATCTTCCATCACCGGCTACTACTGTTGGTGAGTACCAGGGCGAGTTTATCGAGGGCTGGACTTCCGCACAGGGAAGGTCTTCCGCGCTGAGCTCACCTGTAAGAGGACGTGACAATAGCGTTGGTTCTCAGTCACCAGCGCCGCTTCCGCCGCCGATGCTCGACCCCACTTCACCCCCGGGCCCTCGGGAGACCATCCTGGATAGAGCCTTCCAAATGCGCTGCATCCCTGGCTCTGAGCGTGATGTACCGGGAGAAGAGAAACTGAGCTCGTTGGCTCGGTTCGACGCGTTGATGCGAGAACTAGATGACAAGAGGAAGAAGCGCGAGGCGGATGAAGCTAGGAGCAGATCCGCCACACTTGCAACCTCCGATCCGGCAACAGAACGCCCTGGACTCAAAAGTGCGTGGGACGTGACCGGGGCCTCGAGCCCAGGGGAAGACATTGACGAAGAGGACGAGGACAGTGATGTGCCTGAAGTCGAACGTGACTCGGAGGATGGCTTTATGATCCCATCCTCTACCCGAAAAGCCTTGGAATTCATCACGGGAAGGAACGAATTGGCTTCGCCACAAAAGCAGTCCTCTCGGCAACCGATCCAGGGTCCATTGATGTATAACGCGGACGCTTTGAATGCCCTTTCATCTGGTGGTGGCGGCAGCTCCTCTCGGCCACAGACCGGTTATTCTCACAGGTCTCGCCCGTCCATTGGCGCGAGGACCCAGTCACAGCCTCAGATGACAGAAATGCTTGCTGCCTATGGGAGCCCCCTGATGGGCGTTCCCGAAGGACGTCCCGAGACGTCGTTTGAAGAAGGTAGTCTGGCTACCGTGATGAACTCGGCGACGTCGACGCCGCTGCAGCAGAGCCATCGTCGCTCGACATCAAGCGGCAAGCGCCTGAGCTTCACCGAGTTCACCAAGCGTCTCAGCAGCACCAGCAGCTTGCTCCTGGTTCAGACCAACAACAGCACCGGCAGCAGTCGTGGCAGCAGCAATATTGAGGCTGACGGCGAAAAGGTACAGCCTCAGCAGCGGCCTCAGTCACCGCTGCAGGGCGACAAGATGGTCCCTCGGAGCGCTGGCTCCCCGCCGCAACGTTCGATCGACCGAGAGGTTCTGGACAAGCGATGCGGCTGGCGCGGTAGCGTTGGGGTGTTTGGGGGTGCCGAGGGCGGGTTCCTTTAGAAGAGGGCTGCTAAACGGCGCCCTCATACACCAAGCGCCAACTCGTCAACCGCTTCGGTATCGCTTGTAACAAGTAAGAAGGAGAGGAAGCTGTTTAAACCTAGTTCTTAGCTCAGACTGGCTGGCTGAGCTGTCCCTATCTTGACCTTGACCCACCCAACTCTCTTTCCACGCACACGACACTTTCTCTCTCGCATCAACTTGTTCGTCTTGGCATCTTCAACAACTCGTATTTAACGACTTATCACGATCGAGCGAAACTCATCATTACCATATCATATTTGCACAAAACGGAGTGGGGGCACGGGCATCTGGCGTTAGAAATCATCATCATCCTCATTATAAGTTTGTCTCTTTCTGCTTTTGTTTTTGCACAACCCACATAGTCTCAAGGCGTCCTCATGGGAAGACATGACTTACGTTCCTTGGAAAGAATAAGCTGAAGAGGGGGAAGAAGAAGAAGATGGGAGCCAATGAAGCCAATGAATTTGGGAAAGGGGTTCTAGAGATGATGAGGTGGGAAAAGTCGAGGGATGACTGTGGTGCCGTGGGAGGCTACATAGGAGCAGAAGGCCACATGTGCCGCATTGTATATATATATAGTCACAGCAAATACTGAACATACTTCAGACAATATCCTTAGCGTTGCTCGGTGCCTCAATGAAATCTTGCGTGGAATTTCCATAAGGAGACGACGAGCAGTCCCGACACACATTGGTGTCGCTAACACGAAAGGCACGGACGATGTGCTGCCCCATGCGCTCCGACAGAAGCTGTGCTACATATACACATCGTCACTACCCGGCTCATGAGGTCATTCTTCTCAAGGCCTCGCATAAAATTCGGCTCTTTGTTGCTTTAGTTATTCGGTAACAAGCAGTGAATTCGAACTTTTGCAAGAGCAATCATCTGGGGTTTGACTCTCAGTGAGTTTGCATCTCTAGGCATCTCCAGGTCTGTTAGTGTTTTTTTTTAGGGCTCTACAAGCACCTCTAGGGGCCCTTCCCCCACTTCCCGCAGGGGTCTCTGGTGGTCCCGCTCCCATCTTCGTGGGGACTGAAAAGGATGGCGGAGCTCCGTCCGGGCTTCAGTGCCCTTGAGAAGGAAATAACACCTCACTTCAGCCCTGAGCTGCAATGGGCTGTTTCCTGTCACAAAGTCCGAGATTCCGAATCGTTTGGTTGGGCAGTTAGGTATCCAGGCTCACAAGATATATTTTGAGGCAGGCGGCTTCCAACGGGATACCAACCACGTCCATCCATCCATGTATTGCAGTCGGGTTCCGGCCTCCTTTCAAGCATTCCTTCCAGTGAACGAGCGTAGCAGGCTAGCAGCTGCCTGACAGGGGTCAATATGAACGCCCGTAACAACAAAGGTTCACTCATTCACGGTAGGAGAGGTAGGTATTAGACACTTCCAAGAACTCCAACATCACTCGACTATATTATTTGGTCCTTGAATCATCAACTCCAGCTTTTGAACGTTCCCAGTCGACTCGAGGTCGCCCACCCTGGCCATCTCGACTTGCCTTTGACTCCATTTAAGCGCCCAGTCAAACAGTTCCTGCACAACCGATCAAACTTACAAGAAGCCAGCAGTCAGCACTCCAATACTCGTACCCACGCGGCCCGGACGCAGTAAGCAATCATTTCATCCGACCGACCTTCCCGACTTACAGCTGTCCCATAGCTTGGACTTGGTTCGTCACCATCTTCTCGTAAGTCATGGACGTGCTTGGTTTTTTCGTATTCCCTATGGCCGTTCTCTCTTTCACGTCCTGAAAAGCATGGAGGTTGGACCCCCGAACATCCATTGCCAAGCAACAATGCACAATGCACACAGGCACGCAACCAACTGCCACGACTGCCAGGTGACTGCACACGGTTCTCCCCGCAATCGGCGAGCGTCTCTTTAGGAGTTGTTAGTGCAGCTAGAGAGGTGGATGACGGTGCTCTTTGCTGACCCCCTCCCTTTGGTGATGCTTCTAGTGACCACCAACAGGACCATTCGCCCTCTTCGCACTGTTACAGCGTCGTAGGAAGCCTCCTCAGCTGTCTGCTCTGGCTGCCGCTGTTACACCCGTCAGATGCCGGCTCCGGCTGCCTACAAGCCCCTCCTACCAACAACCTTATCTGAGCGGCAACCGGGAAGTCCACCCTAGCTTTACGTCGATATACATACAAAACCACAGGACAACAACTCAGCCTGCATTAACTCCTCCACGACCACCTTGCTGTGCTGTCTGCCTCCGATCTTGCAGTGTCAGTGTTCACCTAGCACACGACCTGCCAGCATTCCGTCTCGCTTCCATCCGACCGTCATCGCTTCTCACCATCCTTCTCACCATCCAACATCGCTGCGGGAACGGACATCGGTCCCGCGCCAGATACGATTTCACCGTGGCAGACCGAACCCCCAACCAACAAGTTCCCATATATCCCCCAGACTCCGACCACCCCTCAAACACCCCGCTACCCCCGGCTTCCTCTTCCGACACTGTCGAATCTGCCCCAGTTTCCGCTCCACCGTTCCCAGCTGCTCCCCCGCAGCCGCCGTCCGTGACGCCATCAGTTCCCACCAGTCTCCCACCGTTGTACGTCCCTCAAGGTTCGCACGACCGCCCGCACGCCTACGCTCCATCCCAAGTCCTCGGCCGCCGGCAACTTAGTGATTTAGACGAAAGCGGACAAGACGAATACAGCCTCGCTTCGAACATCTCAGTCAGCGTGACCTCTTCGGCCGCCACCACTACCACTTATACCTCCCCGCGGCCGCTTAAGCGTCGACGCGGCATCATGTCGGCCGACATCGATGGCCAGAACTCGTCGAATGGGTTTGGGAAGTCGTTATCTAATGGATCACGGACAGAGACGGGCTTTCCAACGGCGGTATCTAATGGAAACGGGTCGCTGAAAGCGGCTGGGTCACAAAATGGGTCATCTTGGGAGGCGAACCGCCCAAGGCAACAATTGGAGAGATACCACGGCCACAACCGGGAACAGTTCACACGTCTGATAATACAGGCTATTACGGAGATGGGATACAACGATGCAGCAGAGAAACTCAGTCAGGACAGCGGCTATCGACTCGAAAACCCTATGGTGGCTGCCTTTCGAGCTGCTGTATTGGACGGTGACTGGGGAAAGGCCGAGGAGCTTCTCAATAATGCGCACTTTGCTGGAACAACGAATCCTGGCTTGAGGGATGGCCTGATACTTGCCTCAGGAGCGGATCGTAACATGATGAAGCTTTGGCTCAGACAGCAAAAGTACTTGGAGCTGTTAGAACGGCGCGAGACACCCCGGGCTTTGATGGTGCTGCGGACCGAACTCACACCGTTGTGCGGGGACCAGCACCAGAAGCTGGAGTTCCTGTCAAGCCTTCTCATGTGTACGAGTGCCGATGACCTGAAGGATAAGGCCGAATGGGACGGGGCTCGCGGAGAAAGTAGACATACATTGCTCTCAGAGCTTTCAAGTAAGTCGTGTGGAATGCCAGCCTTGTTTGGATCTTCAGACCGGCTAACAGGTTCTCGCAGAATTCGTTTCGCCTTCGGTTATGCTCCCTGAGCACAGGCTGGCGGCACTTCTTGATCAGGCACAAGAAATCCAAATTAGCAACTGCCTATACCATTCGACCCTCCAAACACCCTCACTTTATAAGGACCACGTGTGCGACAGGAATACTTTTCCCGCAATCGCCAAGTATACGCTGGATGAACACAACGGGAACGAAGTTTGGCAAGTGAGGTTTTCACATGATGGGACACGCCTAGCAAGTTGCGGCATGGAGCGTCTTGTCGTGATCTATGGCTTGCCCGATTTTAAGGTGATACACAAATTGGATACAGGTGACGAGCAACGCGATTCCCGGGGTGTAGGTAATATCTCATGGAGCCCGGATGACAAGATGCTCGTCACTTGCGGAATGGACGCAAAAGTGTGGGATACCGAGGTAAGTGCAGCAAGTGACAACCATGGCCATTACTGTCTGTCCTTTTCACACACTCGCTAACAAGAGAATAATGCTGCAGACTGGAGGGCTAATCAGGACCATGGACCAATTCAACGAGCCAGTCAGCAGTTGCGCGTGGGTCAATAACCAGGTTCTTATCACTGGATCTTTCGACAAGGAAAGGTCAATCTGTTCCTGGAATCTCGGCATAGCCGATGTGTTCAAGACGGTGTGGACAAAGGACCATCGAACAGAAGACTTGGCGCTGTCCCCCGATAGAAACTGGGTTGTTGCCCTGGACGACCAAAAGCGGTTCCATGTCTACAACTACCACACGCGCGAGCAGGTTTATTCACACGAGATGAAGGATAGAGGAACATCACTCTGTATAAGCCAGGACTCGGCGTCTCTGTTGGTAAATACACAGGTGGGGACAGCGATTTTATATGATATTCCCACGAAGGATGTCCTTCACCAATACGATCAGCACAAAGGAGGGGACTTTTTAATCAGGACTTATCTTGGTGGTGCGAACGAGGCTTTTGTTCTGAGTGGAAGCGAGGGTAAGTGACTCCAGGAAATCTATTGACGACGTTTAACAACCGAAGACGAAGCTAACGGAAAAACTCTCAGATGGGTCAATATATATCTACCACAAGACTACGGGAATTTTGGTGGCAAGGCTTAAGGGCGCTCATGCACCGCGTTGCAACTCTGTCAGCTGGAACCCTTTAGATCCGCGCATGATCGCCAGCTGCGGAGATGATGGGTTGGTAAAGATGTAAGTTTGACTTCCCCCCTGAACCTGTACACTCCTCGTTATTTGCTGACCATGATGAACAGTTGGTACCCAGAATGGCCAGACTGGGATGAGGATATGGACCACAGCGCAAACAACAATGGGACAGTCCGCAACACATTAGCGCTGCAATAGAATAGAGCGCCGCGATGGAAGACCGGGCGTCTGTCCTTGCCGCTTACAGGTCGTGTGCTCAAAACGTTTTCGTGGTTGAAAATCAGCTAAAATACGGAACGCGGCCCAGCCAGGGAAGAAGTTACGGAAGATTAATTGCTTGTGTGAGTTTCATGGAATGATGGAAGGATAAAGATGGTACACCACCAACCAGCGTTGTATTTACATATTTTGGGGCTTTCAAAGAGCGAATGGGTTGAGTAATCGATGGATGGATGGATGGATGGACGGATGGACGGATGGACGGACGGACGGACGGACAGGGGGGCTGACAGGAGGCATTGCAGTTTTTTTTGTTTTTTTTCCCATGATTTCTTTTCGGCTTGGAAACGTTTTCTATACACAGTCAAGAAGGGGAAGTTGCCAAACTTTTGTCAAAAAAGGGTAGAACTGAACAAGTAACAGAGCAATACAGCGTAGCATAGGATATCGGGGCGCGGTTTGGAAGAACGGGGTGTGTAGAGATAACAGAGATAGTTTTCATACTTTCACAGTGGGCCCAAGAGCATTTGAGCCATTCCTAGGTTTTCAGCGAATACTGGTTCTTCTCAGACAGGTGCCTGATTCAATTACGGTCACACGCCTTGCTTTCTTGATGCCTTTTCACTTTATAGTGCCCAATCCGTGAGACTATGACGCGGCCTGAATTAGATACATGGAAGAATGAAGCTATCTTAGCAAGCAAGCAAGATGCTTTGGTTGAGACATACGTAATCGGCCGCGCATGGCGACGGGATCTCTCATAATTGATAACTATGCGTGAGAGACATGATGAAAAAGACTACGAGATTTCTCACTTTCATAAGAGAAAGGGATCGAGGTGCTCAAAGGAGTGTCCAAACAGTTCAGGGATATCGTTACTTGTAAGTTCTCGAAGACAGTTACCTTTAATTACAGTAGTGGTCTCCACATGTAAGAGACAACGACTCTGCAGATAAAGTACCGTCACGTGCGGCTGACAAGGGGGTCCCTTCTGTAGGCTTTGTGTATGCTGCTGCGAGTGGCCTGCGACAGTGATTCAGTGGACGCACGGTGACCCCCCTTCAGTGGCCCCTCTGTGTGCGTGCGGGTCTGCGACGCTCCGTCGTTCACGGACACGACCAGAGTCCAGACTGCCTCCCGGTCTCCGTCGCTCTGGGTTGCCGTCCCGTCAGGTTGCCTCAGCTTTCGTGTCAGAAAGATTCCCGTCTCCAGAAACACCCATTATAACCAACGTCTAGTAATAGCATCTTCAGTCGCCAATCCCAACAAGCCGGCTTGTTTTACATATCTTCCCGTCAACCCGCCAAAGCGCCGCTTGTACGAACCCGCGATCGATACCCTTGACGTTTACGCCTGGCCCTGTTAGTCGCCGCCGCCGCCGCCGCCTTAGACGCCAGTTAGTTCAGGCTCCTTATCTACCGAAACCCAAGCGAAGCGGGAGGAGGCACCAGAAACCGCCGACACCGCCTGCCACTCACCACCAACCCACGACATCCCACAACTCCAAACAAACGCATCACCACTATCGTCCGCCTCTGCATAGCCAGCAGCAATCATGACGGTAGACGTGAATACGCAGTCGCTCGCCACCCCCGGAGGTATCTCTGACCCGGCCTCATCAAGTACGTCCAAGTCCTGCTGCTTCCACCCCTTCCGCGGCTGGTCTCGTGCCTGTCGCATGTCGGGCATCACCAAACCATCGTCGTTGTTGCCAGTTCGCTAACATGGTCGCTATCCGCACAACAGGCTCGTCAACAAGCTCCAGGATGTCTTCACCACCGTCGGTGTCAACAACCCCATCGATCTCCCCCAAATAGTAGTCGTCGGCAGTCAGTCCAGCGGAAAGAGTTCAGTACTAGAAAACATTGTTGGTCGCGACTTGTGCGCATCCCCCTCCCCTCCCCTCCCCCGCCCCCTTTCCC